TCATTTTGTATGTTTAGAAACAATACATAAATGGTGATATACTGTATATAGCCTTCTGCAACTTGTTTTTTCTTCACTCTCAGATTTATCCACATTAATATACGTAGCTCTGATACATTCAGCTTTAACTGCTGTATAATATTCGATTTTATGGAAACACTAAACTTTGCTTACCTGTTCATCTGTTCATAGACATTCAGGTTGTTTCCAATTTTCCTTTATTACAAGCAAAGCTTTGGTGAACATTCTTATGTATTTCCTTGGGCACCCATGCTAGACTTTCTCTAGGGTATGTACTTAGGTAGGAAATTGCTAGGTCAAAAGATATGTTTAGCTTTAGAGGTACCAGGTGGTGCCAAATTGCTTTACACCAATTTCAATCCCACTGGCCTGGTATTGTAGGTCCCTGGATGGTGTTCAACTACTAACCTAAGATTGGTGGTTCAAAACCACCCAGTGGCAAGGCAGAAGAAAGGCCTGGCAATCTACTTCCATAAAGATTGTTATTATTGTTATTGAGTGCTGTCAAGTCGCTTTTGACTCACAGCAACTTCACCTGGCAGAGCATAACTGAGCCACAGGGCTTTTTAGATTGTAATCCTTACGGTGCAGGTCACCTGGTCATTCTCCCTGTGGAGCCACTGGGGGGGGCTCAAATGGCCAGCCTTTCAGTTAGCAGTCAAGCATTTAACCACCGCACCACCAGGACTCCTTACCATAGAGATTATAGCCAAGAAAACCCTATGGAGCAATTCCACTCTATAACACATGGGGGCGTCACAAGTTGGGATCGACTTGACAGCAATGAATTTGTTTTTGGTTTTCTGGCAGTGTGTGCAAGTTCCTTTAATAGCTATCCTGAACAGCACATTTTCATTTCTGTCTGTCTTACTGCTACTGGGTCTCGGCTTTAGGCCACGGTCACACACACCAGCTCCGCTGATTCTCAGAGCCATGATTCTCATACCACTCATAGAAGAGATAGTGCCTCTACTTTATGACCACCCGGCAGAAAAGCACCCTGAGGCCAGGGAGGGAATGAGGGGCCCAGTGCAGCTGCAGCCGAGCCCAGGAGTCCTGGACCCCAGGCATTCGTCACCCCATGGACAGTGTGCACACGGCTAGAATGCACAGTCTGCCTTCTCATTGAAAAAATACAAATTTTCAAATTGTTTTTACTGTGTGGTAAGTGTTAATGCTCCATAGGAAAGGAGGGGAGAAGGAACTGGCATTTTATGGCACTTATTATTTCACAAAACGCTTTGCATCCATTTCTCATTTGATCCTGAAAATAAACCAGTAAGAGAGACTTAGATTGCTACTTGACAGATAAGGATGGTGAGGCTCATGGCTAGTAAGTGCCAGATTGGACCTTGGAGCTATTTCCCTCTAATGTCCCGTGTGTACACTTGGAGATGGGGGTCTGATAGTTGGGAATTCATAGTGTGTACTGTGAACATGTACGAGTCTGTGACATCTTCTCCCGGCCCTCTGCACAAGTTCTCTGGAACTAAGGTCACCCCACAGACAAGGAGTAGTCCCTTTCATGGTGATAGTGCGTCCTAGTGTTTATCACCTAGATCAGACTGTCTGCAATAATAGCCTACATCTACCACCTACAGGAGGTATCCCCAGGTGGAGCAAACAGTTACAAGCTGGGCTACTAACCTACAGTCTGGCAGTTCAAACCCACCCCGAGGCACCTCAGAAGAGAGGCCTGAGAGTCTGCTTCCAAACGCTCACAGCCGTGAACACTCTATGGGGCAGTTCTTCTCTGTGCACGGGTCTCCAGGAGTCGGAATCATCTTGACAACAACCCAAAACAACCACCTAAATGGCCTGTGATCTTGGGCAAGCTACTTTCTCTCTGTGCCTTGATTTTCCCATCTGTATGGGGAATGCACTGGTGGTGCAGTGGTTAAAGCACTTGGCTGCTAACAAAAAAGTCAGTGGTTGAAACCCACTAGTTGTTCTGCGAGAGAAGGATGTGGTAGTCCGCTTCCAAGATTTACAGTCTTGGAACCCTATGGCAATTCTACTCTGACCTACAGGGTTGTTGTGAGTCAGAATCAATGGAGTGGGTTGATGGGTTTTTATTTGGAACATGGGGATAATAGCACCTAGCTCCCAGTGAAGACTGACTGAGGCAATGCATGTAAAATGCACGGCACACGGAGAACGCTTAAATGTTAGCACTTATGATCTAGACTATGATTGTGACTTCCGGTTACCCACAGGAGTGGTGGTCATGGTGATGATGAAAACACCAAGTCTGGCCTCAGCAAAGCAGAAGTCACTGCTTCTGGGAGAGGCCAGCATGGAGGGTGAGGGGGGACCTCGAATCTGGAGACGCCAGCTGGTGGTGCCCAAGCACAGGACAGAGGGACCACAGCCAGCGGCAGGAGACCCTGCAGGAACTTCGACCAGCTCACTTGAAGGGCCCTTGACAGTCCACGTCTTTGTTTTTCTCACAGCTGGAAAAATGTTAACGACTTACAGCCTGAGGGTTTCGTGGGTCTGGCCACAGCTGAGGGTGAGTAGCCAGGCCCTGCTTTGCAAGCAGGGTTCAGCAACCTTCCTGCCAACCATGTCTGGAAGAAGGAAACTGAGATGAGTTAGGACGGGGCCAGAGGTGTGTTAGCGACCCCTTCTTAATGTCCATCTGTCCCAGAAAGCCTCCCCATGACTTGGGAAGCAACCTATAACTGCTGTCCTGACACAAAGCCTTGTTATCAACTACCAGTTATGTAGCCCCGGGCACGGAGGAGAAAGAATGAAGGATGGGAAGGAGTTTGGTTCCACCCCAATTCTTCTTCTTTTAGCTGAGTGAACTTTAACCTTTGTAAGCCTCAGTTTATATAACTATAAAATGGAGCTAAAAACACCTTCTCACCTACCTCATACAGCTGCCATGTCCAATGAGATAACATGCGTGAAAGGGCCTTGGGGACTGTCAAATGCCAAGAAAATGCAGTGATTTGGTCTGGCACTCAGCTGTTCTTGCCTCATGGTGGGGGTGAAGGGGGGGTTCTGGATGTGGCGTGAAGGGGGATGAGTCACTGACCCCTCTGTCAGGCCAGGCACACGTTGGCCAGATGCCTGGTTCATCCCATGGCTGTGGAATAGATACATTAGAGCACCACGCAGCCCTCCTAGGAACTCAGTCTGTAACTGAGGCCTCAGACTTCCTGTTTGATCGGGTGAGACAGTCAATCACAAGGACAATCAGTCAGCTGCTGACAAGTGGGGGGCAGTCAGGACCTCTGTCCCTTGTTAGCTGGTGGCCTTGCACAAGTTACTTAACCTCTCCAAGACCAGTTAAGTCATTTGTAAAATGAGGGTAACACTGCCTATTTTGTGCTGCAGTAAATTAGACCATGTACACTTGTCACATAATAATTCCTCAAAGAATAATGGTTGCACATTTAATCTCCCTGGGCCTCTAATTTCACACCTGTGAAATGGGGACAACTGCCGCTCCCTGGCAATTCTTGTGAGAAGGAAATGAGGCAGTGTGTGGAGAAGCACAGCACATAGCTCATGACTGTAAGGTCCACGAGGGCAGGGCCCCGTGAACACACAACACCCGCACACATGTGCGAAACCAAACCTGCTCCCGTTGAGTTGATCCCGACTTGTGACCACCTTATGTTACAGATCTGCTCCACGGGGTTTTCTTGGCTGTAATCTTTAAGAAAGCAGACCCCCAGGATTTTCTTCTGTGGTGTTGCTGGGAGGGGTTCAAAGAGCCAACCTTTCGATCAGTAGTCAAGTGCAAACTGTGCTACCCAAGGAACTTACACGGATGGTAAGTACTCAGTAAACATTTGTGGAATGAATGAATGAAGTACTCTCAAAATGGTAACTGCAGGTTTCTTTAACTTCTCTGAGCCTTGGCTTCCTCATCTGTAACATGGGCAGATTAATACTCACCTGGGAGGGCTGTGATGAAAACTAAGGGCCTACAGCAGGTGCTCCAATTATCTTCCAACACTGCAGACTGGGAGGCCCGCGAGTATGCTTTGGACTCCCATCCCCCAGGCAGTATCACAAGAGGCAGCGAGCAGTGTAAGTAAGAGTAATGTTTACTGAGCGATACAGGACCGAGTACTATGAAGGGTTTACAAGGATGGAAATGCACCCCGCCCCTGCCCCCACCACCCCACCCTCAGAGACTACAGTACTTAGGATTACACACAACAGCCGTAACTGGTGGATATGTGTTCGTAACAAACCAACCATAGCATATTTATACTGTATCACATCGAGTGATTATAGAAATCCATATATATAGTGCTTGTATAAAATCTTTTTTTTTTGTAAAAAATATTTAAAAAAAAAAAAAAAGTATAAAAACCATGTGCAGTTGAAAGCACTGCCAGGACAGCCAGTCTGTAAACATTCGAGTGAGTATGTGCTTTGGAAGGGCGCCCGCGCCTCGTGCCCACAGCAAACTCCAGCAGGGTCGGTATGCCCAGGACTGCGGCCGCCTGGCGGGGCAGAGATGGGCAGGTGCAGCAGGGCCCCACCTCACCCCAGCTTTGCGTCAGGGACAGGGGTCAGGGCTGGGGGCAGGCATATTACAGTTTCATTCTGAGTTTCATCCCCAGCCACATTTTGGTTCCAACTCATGGCTTTTCCTGGCTGCTCAGAGGTCCCTCAGGGTGCTCAGGGTGCCCTGGTAGAGAGGCTGAAGTGTCTGGTGGGGCGTCCCTCTGGCCCAGGTGGCACGTCCATCCTGCCTCGTTTGAGCTGGGTCCCAGGCAGGACAGCCCCTCCGGCGGGTTGACTTTGGTCTCAGTGCTTGGTCCCCTTGGGTGTCCTCAACCCGCCCTTCCCCTTGTTGGCTGATCTGAGTTTCACAAAAAAGCCCGCCAATGCTGGTCATGCTGATCCTTGCTGCAAAGTTTGTCCTGCATCAAAGGAGGGCCTCTGGGGCCCTCCTCCTCTTCCCTCTTTATTGCTTCTCCTGCTCCTCCCCGTCCTCCTCCCGGCCATGCTCACTTCTTCTCCAGCTGCTCCAGCAGTGGGTTGCCTTCTGACTCGGGGGTCTTGACGCTGTCGGTCCGTACGATGCAGGTGGGCCGGTGCCGGTTCAGCATCAGGATAAGTTGCTGCCGCTCCTGCTTCAGCTCCTCAATCTGGGTCTTCAGCTCCGCGTTCATCAGCTCTAGTCGCTCGGATTCCTGTGTGTAAACACATAGACACGGCTTTAGGCTTTACCAGGGACGGGCTCCAGGGACCGGGGTGGCTGGGGCAGGCCGCTCTGGGTTGGCATTGCTTGTTTTCCGTCTGCCAGCTTCTACATGGAGGGAGCATAGAACCTGCTATAGAGACTGTATCAACTGACTCACTGCAGGCGGGGCTCAATAGGTCTATGATCTGCCTGTCCCTGGGACACTTCTCGTCACCGGTGACACGAGCCTGGGTTGCACTGGGGCCAGCCTGATTATCTCCCACCTCTTTCTGCTCTCTCAGTCCACTCCAGCCATAGTGGCCTCCTTGATGCTCCTTAAATACACCAGACACTCTCTTGATACAGGGCCTTGGCACAAGGAACAAAAGTTGGGAGAACGGAGGCCATGTGGATGGAGAGCAGGTGTGTGGCGGCCCACAGAGGGCTGCATCACGGTAACACGCTCTGATGCGTGAAGATGCACACAGGGATACTTTGATCAAGCGTAGTATGGTCACACGATTCCTCCTCAAACCTGTGCTTCCTAGCTATTGTTGTCCTGTGCCTTTGAGTCGATTCCAACTCATAGCAACACTATAGGACAGAGTAGAACCGCCCCCAGGGTTTCTAGGCTGAAACCTTTTGGGAAGCAGATTGGCAGGTCTTTTCTCCCACAGAGTGGCTGGAGGGTTTGAACTGCCAACCTTTTCATTAACAGCAGACCACTTCATCACTGCGCCACCAGGGCTCCTTTCCTAGCTATTAGTCTAGAATTATTTAAACAGCTCTTCCTTATTCCCTGTAATCTTGATGTTTTTCCCACTGGAAGGCAATCAACAGCCAATCCTTCTAGATCCAATGAGGTTTCAAACAGACCTCAAGTGAGATTTCCAGTGAGTGCTGCAGGGGAAAGAAGGAATGGTGAAGACATGAATGGGGGATGTTTACAGTCATAGTGTGGAGAGGTGGTGGGTGTATCAATTCAACCCCAGGGGTCAAAGGGTAAACTAGCAAAGCATTTGAATAATTTTTCCTGGGCTGCATCTAAGAACTTATAAGCAGTTTGAGAGATGGATTTTATTCAAAGGCCAGCCAAGTTTAAGGCCAGTGGTTCTCAACTAGGGGTGATTTTGCCCCCCGGGGGACATCTGGCCATATCTGAGACATTTTTGTTTGTCACAACTAGGGGCAGAGTATTACTAGCATCTCGTGGTAGAGGTCAGAGGTGTTGCTAAAAATCCTACATGTGAAGGTCACCCCCCACAATAAAGAGTCACCTGGTCCAAAATGTCCACAGCACCACTGTTGAAAATCCCTGTTTCAGGCAGAGCAAGCCGTGGTTGGAAATGTGTCTGACAACTGGACGTCTTGGGACTGGGTTGGGACTATGAACTTGCCGTCCACCTGGTGGGGCACGGGATGAGGAGCCTCCCCTCTGGGTCCCCCAGGGCAGTGTGGGTCTTCAGGGCCCTGGGTAGAGCCCACACATGTCCCGGTGGCACCATCTTCCTCACACCAACCAGTCTGACTGAATTGTTCTTTGTGTTCATCTCTGAGGTGGGAGTGTGAGGCGCCTGAGGAATTCAGAACTGCTGAGATACACAGATTCTGTGACCTGACGCTGAGAGGGAACAGCTTTGGGCCTCCAAAAAGAAAAAAAAAATGCTCAGGGAGAAAGTATTAAAAACTGCCTATAAAGGTTTTTAGCTCAATGGCTGAGGCACGATAGGGAAGCTGGCCTGGTCTACTGTTCTCAGAATCCACCTTCAAGGGCAGGAAAGACCCCACATGACACAATCAGAGAGCAGTTAGGCGCTAATCTGAGATGCCTGCTCACTGGTCTGACTGGTTGGGTGACCTTGGGAACTTTTCACAAACCCTCTGGCCATCTAGGTCCCCCCAGCCAAAGGTTTTAGCTCCATCTTGGAATTCTCCTGAGCCTCTGCTTTTAGGACTCTCAGCTCCATCCATTCATTTATTCATGAGAATTTGCTGAAGTCTGCTGTGTACCAACAGAGCTCAGGGTGGAGGGAGAGACCAGACACTCACCCCAATGCAGCTATCATGGACTTCTAGTCCAAGGAGAAGATGGAATCCATATGGCAAGATAGTGTTTACAAAAGGGCTGTCAGCTACCCAGGGTTTAGAAGACCTTCTGAGAGGGCTAAGTGACAGAGTCTGATCTTGGGTTTGAAGACAGGTTGACTCTGACTGGGTAGAGAAGGTCAAGGAGCCCCCAAATGATCAAGAACATGGGCATGGGAAAGCTTAAAATGTGTTTATGAGATTGGGGGGAAAAGTCCAGTTTGACCATTGTCCACTTTCGGACGTGGTAGGTTCTGAAGCTGGTAAGGTGGATTTAGAGCCCAACTGTAGCTCTGAGGGGAGCTCTGGTGGTGTAGTGTCTGAGGCACTTGACTGCTAACCAGAAGGCTGGCGGTTCAAACCCATGAGCCACTCCTCGGAAGGGAGATTGGCAATCTACTTCCATAGCAATACCGCCTCAGAAACCCATGAAGGGGTCGCTATGAGTCCATGGACTCTAAGCCAGTGCAGTTTTTGGTTTGGTAGCTCTGGGAAAGCTCATAGCCTAGGGCAAGTTTCTTAACCACTCAGAAGCTCAGTTATCTCATCCATAAAAAGGAGATTATCACAGGGATTAGATGAAGTCATGTGGGAAAAGCCAAGGGCTAGGGAGTCTTAAGGAATTTTCCCTTCAACCGATAAGCAAGAGAACAGTATGAAGAAGGAGGAGAAGCACACACACACTGCCATCCAGTTGGATCCAACTCATAGCGACCCCTCCTGGGGTTTCCCAGACTGTATCACTACAGAAGTAGATTGCCCAACCTTCCTTCTGAGGAGTAGCTGGTGGGTTTGAACTGCCAGCCTTCTGAGATGCCTGCTGGTTAGCAGTCAAGTGCCTTAGGCACTATGCCACCAGAGCTCCTGAGGAAAAGCAGGAAGGGCTAATAATAAGGAAAAGGAGAGGCAAGAGAAGAAGGGAACAAGTGACTTCACAGAGCAAGAGTGGGTACCAGGCGTGCTGAATGCACTTCACACGTATTGACTTATTTGATCTTTGCATTAACCTTATGAAGTTGATACAATAACCCTCCCCAGTTTTCAGATGGGGTCGTTCTGGATGAAAAGGGTGGGCTTAGGAATGCCTGGGTGAAATAAAGTGGAAGTGGGTCACCTGAGGAGGGAGTTGAGAGTGGCCATTAGAGCAGGTACCAAAACTGGGGGCAGCTGGAATGAAAATGGTAACATATGGGACTGACCTTTGAAAAGAAAACCTGGCAAGTCTTGGTGACTGCCTAGATCTGGAGAACAAAGGAGACAGGCAAGACAGCTGACTATGAGCCTGGGGGAAGGGTCCGAGGAACAGAGTCTGAAAGGGGTAGGGGGTTGTTCTGGTTACCTAGTGCCACTCTGACAAGAATATACTACAAATGGAATGGCCTTAACAAGCAGGAGTTCATTCTTACAATTTGGAGGCTTTAAGTCCAAGTTCAAAGTGCCAGGCTCTAGCGGCTGGGTGAAAGCCCCTCAACCCTGGGGTCCAGCTCTGCCTCCTGCTCCCAGTCCACTGGAGCTAGAGGGATTTCTTCATTCAGACAGCTGCTGACTGCTGAGGCTGAGAAGCCCCAAGGTTGACAAGTAAAAAGGCACAGTCCCGATGTTACCAAACCACACGGCAGGCCATTAACTTAAGTCCATTGTAAGTCCCAAGGTCAGCAGAGCATAGCAGGCTGCTGAGCAACAACATGGCTACATGCAGGATCCAAGCATGCCATAGGCTAGAGACCATTCCCAAAGCTGCTGCTTATATAGAGGAAGCAGACCACATTCCCTAAGGCAGCTACTCAGCTGCTTGTGGTAGATTCCACCATGGAGTTTATTGCCAGTCTCATGGGGAATAACTACCACCAGCTGCCCAGCCACTCAACCAGGCCCAGCCAAGTTGACAAACATACCACCATAGGGATGCTATTCTGGAGAGTAGTGGGAAGGGCAAAGAAGGGGTTTGGATTTAGGTACAGGGAGTTTAAAGTTAAAACAACATAGAAGAAGTCTCTCACCCATAGTACTCAAGAGTACTGCATACAGATCCACCTCCTTGAAGCTACTGCATCCGAAGCCATATGTGTGGGCATCTGGTGGTTCGAATCTACTCAGAGGCCCCTTGGAAGAAAAGCCTGGTGACCTACTTCCAAAAGATCACAGCCACTGAAAACGGTATGAGCATACTTCTACTCTGAAATATACGGAGTGGGCGTGAGCTGGAATTGGCTCAACAGTTTTTACAGTAGGTGTGGGGCAACTTGTATTTATGATCAGAACAACATTACATTCTGTTGATTTTAAACTAACAGTCTTAACAGTTTAACAGTTTAACCCTAACAGGGTTAAACCTGTTGCCGGTGGGTCAATTCTGACTCCTAGCGACCATAAAGGGCAGAGCAGAACTGCCCCACGAGGTTTCCAAGGCTGTAAATCTTTACAGAAGATTTATACTGCCTCATCTTTCTCCCACAGAGATGGCTAGCATGTTTGAACTGTGACCATTGGGTTAACAGCTAAGTGCTTTAATCACTGTGCCACCAGAGCGCCTACTGTTAGGGTAGGGTCCATCATGGAATGATAGTCTGAACTTGGACTATCTGACTGGCAGAATCCTTCTGTACTCAAAGAATTCTTGGTTGGTGCTATGTATTTATTTGTATAAATTGAGTTCAGAAGAATCTTTTTTTAACCATGATTGTAGAAGTTTGTGGCTTTATAACACCAATTACCTGATCTGTTTCCTAATTAACTAAGGAAACGTGGGTAAGGATCTTCATACTTTAATTATGAAGTGAATAATGCTGCTTACATTTCTGTTTGTCGTTTGCCTTCTGGTAGCTATTTATTGCCCTAGAGAAAATAAATCCATTTGTCATCTTGGAAGAGATTAGTGCATATGGAGGTTATGCCTCCCACCCTGTGGGCAGCAAAGAGAGTAGA